AAAGATGGCCTGTAGCCAATCTGTGAAAGACTTTAAATGCCAGACAGGGTTTGCCTTTTATGCTGGAAGCAACAGGAAATGATTGAAAATTCTTCACTACAAAAGTGAAATGGTCAGATCTGTACTTTAGGAAGACTGTTTTGGCAACTCTCTAGAGGATAGACTGGAAAGGGAAAATATTGGCATCTGGGAGGCTAATTAAAAGTGTTCTGCAATGGTCCAAGTATGAGGTGATGAGGACTTGGATGAAATTAGTGGCTGTCTGAGTGAAGCAAAGGAGATGAATGAGAGAGATGCAGAGGCAAAGTCATCAAGACTTGGCAACAGCTTAGGTTTATGGAGTGAGGGAGAGGGAAAAGTCAGTGTGATGCTGAGGCTGCGAATCTACACCACAGGAAGAATAGTGGTATGCTGGATGTAGCAATTGGGAATTTAGGAGGAGGGGTAGGTCGAAAGGAAAAGGCAATGAGTTCTGGTTTTGATATATTTAGTTTAAGAACTTCATAGGACCTCAGTTTTCTCAACCATAATGGCAATCACCATGCCTCTTCTCTTATTATTTCCCTGGGCTGCTTTGAGAATCAAATGAGAAGACACTGGTGAAAGCACATTAGCACTCTGCAAAACACTTTGGTGGTATCGATCAATCAACAAGAAAGCATTAAGCTGCTGCCATGTACCAGACGCTGTGCTAGATACCAAGACTCCAAAGACAAAATGGAACAGTCTTTGTGGTGCAGGAGCTTACATTCTAACAGCATTGCTACACTTCTGAGAGGTTTAGCTATTTAACCATTAACAGTGTCCTTTCTCATAGAGTTCCAAAGCTTATGAGTCCTAGGCTTTCCTGAAGATGGACAGGTCAGGTCTCAAGCTTAACAACCAACACAATGCTTACCTATCAATCCAAAGAGAGATCCAAAGTAGGAAGGGCAGAAGAAAACGTTAGGCTCAAACCCTCAGGAAAAGAATTACAGTTGGGAACAGCAGCGGCATATTTACCTAGCATCCAACCACTTAGATTTAACTACATCACCACCCCTTTCGAGGAGGACGGTGGTCAAGGCTTTCGACCAACTATGGATAGGAACAAAACAAAACAAAACAAAAATCAGCAGCAGATTCTTCACATAGCAGATATGGCTGTAATTCAAAGAAGAAATCTTTACATGTACAAAAAATGGAGAAGACTTTTGGCTCTCCTGGTTAGTTAGCTGAGGCCAAAGACTGTTTTTCTGTTTGTCTGCACCTGCAGCACTTAGCAAAGTGCCTGGTCTATATCAGGTGATGAATAAATGCTTTCTTATTTGCTAACACACTGACCTTTTAAGTCACACCCATACATATAGCACTGTCAGTGGCATCATACGATCATTCATTTAGAGATGGAAAGGACCTAAAGAACACACGATTCAATCCCTCTCATTTTAGAAATGAGAATGTGAGGCCCAGAGAAGGTAAATGATTTAACCAAGGTCATATAAGTAGTGACAAAGTGACAGAGGAAGAATTTGAACCTAGATCCTCCCACTCTATATGTAGCTCTCTTTTCATTGTACCATAGATGTGCACTTCTGGAGTAAAAAAACCCTATCTTCAACCCCCACCCCCTATTCTGCTCCCTTCTGTATGTCATCTTACCTATTAGAATGGAAGCTCTTTGGGAGCAAGGACTGATTTTCTTTTTTACTTGTATTTGTGTTCCCATTGCTTAGCACAATGCCTGGCACATAGTAAGCACTTAATATATATGTGCTTCCTCCCTCCCTTCCATTCTCCCTTCTCTCCTTCCTTCTTTCCCTTCTTTAAAGCATCAGTGGACAGTGACACAGTCAACAAAGGAAGAATGAAAGGGTTGTCCTGCAGCAGGGGGAGTCCAATTGACATTAAATAATTTTTAGCAGACCCAGTCTGTATGATTATATGACTTTCTCCAGTGGTATTCAGCAACCTGAAAGTTGAAGAGAAGGCAATGGTAGAGTTTGGTCAGGTATGACTGTTGAATTGGAAATTAAATCATGAAATTATGAAATGGGAGCAGGCATGCCCAGTTTGTGGAGTACTTGCTGGGAAAGACCAAGATGGCAATGGGAAACAGGGGTACAATTAGATTTTAAATAGGCACAAAGAGTACCAAGACAAATGAACTGGGTACAGAGGTAGACAGCACAGATATGAGAGGGGTGGAATAGTAAAGGGAGTCAGGTAGTGTGAGGAAGAAGATGGGGAGGGAGAAAGGCACAGACAATCACCCATATAACCATAGACTAAAGTTGGGAGCACTAGGTAACATGGACCCAGTGGATATGGAAGTATGCTGGTAGGGCAGGCAGGGGAAGATTGGAGTCTCATTTTTATAGGTTTTTCTTTCTGGAAAACAGACTCTCATCTGTGTCCTGACTCCAGGCATTTTCAGTGGCTTGGAATACTTGGAATGTTATTCCTCCTTATCTCTTTCTCCTGGCTGCCTTCAAGAGCCAGCTAAAATCTCACGTTCTGCAAGAGGCCTTTATTGATTTCCCCTTAATGCTAAGGCCTTTCCTCTGAGATTAGGTACAATTTCTCCTATATGTAACTTGATTACATACAGTTGTTTGCATGTTGTCTACCTTATAAGAATGTTAGCTTCTTAAGGGTGAAGATTGTGTTTGCCTTTCTTTATATCCAAAGTGCCTAGCACAGTGCCTGGCACATAGTAAGCCCTTAATAAATGGTTGTTGACTAATTGGTTTAAGTTTTACAAGGCACTATCTTCCCAATATTCCTAGTAAGTATTGGAGGCCACTTTGTAAAATGTGCTCAAAGGCAAAATCACCATCTCCCAATGGTTCAACATGCAAATTGTGTGCACAGTCTCTACTAGTATACAAAATTAGGTTAGAATCAGCCTATTTCTTTGCAGGTTTTGATAGACAAAACTGGAAATTCCAAGGACTAGAATTGAAGCAGAGCCCTCACTTCATTGGTTAATAATTCTATTGAATCATTACTCACATATGGATAGAAGAACAATTCTTCAGCCTGCCTGTGAAATTGTCATATTGACAGTGAAATCATTAAGGGAGAAACTGAATGTTCTAACAATTTCATTACAACCAGTGGTTAGTCCAATGAATGATATCATTTTCTCAATTCAATCAAATATCCCAAGGGCAAAATTTCACTGAAATCTATTGCAAACCGTCAAAACATATTACCATTTAAAATCTATTAGCAGTGACTTTGTTTCAAAATGGCACAATAACCTACACATCAAGTTTAACATGAAGCTCAAACTAATCTCTCCCCATCACGCCATCTGCAATCCTGAATTTCCCATTTCTGGTAATGGCATCAGGGTTCTCCCACTCTTTCATAATCAAAACAACAGAGTTATGCTTGACATTTCCCTTTCCTTCCTTACCCCATATGTAATTATTTGATTTTCCTTTCAAAATATAGCTCAACAGAACCAGGAAAACATTGTACACAGTAACAGCAATATTACAAAGATGATCAACTGTGACTTAGCTACTCTGATCAAGACAATGATCCAAGACAATGCCAACAGACCCATGATGAAAAATGATATCCACCTCCAGAAAGAGAACTATGAACTCTTAATGCAAGTTGAAGCATGCTTTTTTCAAACTTTACTTATTGTTTTATTTTGTTTACATTTTCTTTTGCAATATGGCTAATATGGAAATATATTTTGCATGACTTCACAATCCCTGCCCTCAAAGAGCTTACAATCTAATGGGGGAGACATACAAACAAGTCTATATAAAGTAAACTATACATGGGATAAAAAGGAAATAATTAAAAGAGGGAAAGCACTGGAATGAAGAGGGGTTGGAGGGTCAGCTAGGTGTCAAAGTGGATAGAGCACGGGCCTTGGAGTCAAGAGGACCTGAGTTCAAATCTGGCCTCAGACACTTGACATTTACTAGCTGTGTGACCCTGGGCAAGTCACTTCACCCCACTGCTTAGCAAAAAAAGAAGAAAAAAAAGAGGAGTTGGTGGAGAAGGTGTACTATAGAAAGCAGAATTTTAGTTGGGATTTAAAGAAAGCCAAGAAGGTCAGTAGTTGGAGCAGGGGAGGAAAAGCATTCCAGACATGGAAGACAGCCATAGAGAACACTTGGAGCTGAAGGATGGAATGTCTTGTTTGTGGAATAGCCAGGAAGGCAAGTGTCACTGGATTGAAGAGTACATTTTGGGAAGTAAGATGTAAGAAGACAGAAAAGGCAGAAGGGGGTGAGGTTATGAAGGGCTTTGAATGCCAAACAGAACATCTTGTATTTGCTCCTCGAGACAACAGGGAGTCAATGAAGTGTATTGAGTAGAGAGATGACATGATTAGACTTTGTTTTAGGAAATCACTTTGGTGGTTGAATGGAGAATGGGTTGGAATGGGAAGGGACTTGAGGCAGGCAGTCCTACCAGAAGGCTGTTGCATTGGTCTATGCATGAGGTAAGGAGAGCTTGTACTAGAGTAGGAGCAGTGTCAGCAAAGAGAAGTGGGCATATTCAGGAGATGTTGCAAAGATGAAATCAACAGGCCTTGGCCACAACTTGGATACAGCAGGTGAGAGACAGTGAGGTACCCAGGATGACTCCTAGGTTGAGATCCTGAGACACTGGGAGAATGGTATTGCCCTCTACTGTAATAGGTAAAAGATAACAAGTTCTGTTTTGGACATATTATGTTTAAGATGGCTACTGGACATCCAGTTCAAGATGTTTGAAAGGCAATTGGAGATGCCAGAAGGGGAGTCAACAGAGAGACTGGGGTAGGAATCACCAGCCTAGAAATGGTCATTAAATCCATGGGAGCTGATGAGGTCACCCAGTGAAGAGGGAGAAGAGATGAGGATCCAGGGCAAAACCTTGAGGGACACCTACAGTAAGAGGGTGTGATCTGGATGATTCCTCCTTCAACCGGAAAAGTAGGCTACCATCCAAAATTACAGATGCCCTGCCTTCCCTAGCAATAGTGATCCTGACATGGACCTCACCTTTCTGTTGAACGCCTTGGCCTTGTGCCTCCTTTCCAGGTGCACAGCTTCAGGGCTCTGCACAGAGTCTGGGATGCTGCTGCCACTGCTGCTACTGCTGCTGCTTCTGCTACTGCTGCTGCTGCTGCTGCTTGGGTTATGTTCCCCCAGTTTTAGCAGCCCCAAGCCTAGTGCCTTTCCCTGGCAGGACTCAATTAGGAGAGTAGCCATTTCATACTGTATCACAGGGATGCCATTAATCTCCAGAATGTAATCTTCAGCCTTAAGGCCAGCCTCTTCCGCAGGGGAGCCAGTGTTAACGTTCCCCACTCGCAGGGGGATGCCTCTCAGCAGAGTAAAACCAAAACTACCATCAGGGCCAGGGGGAAGCTCGACCTGCTGGACCCGAGACACTACCCCAATGCTGGGAGGTGCGTTCTCACACTGCCGAGCTAAGGTCACCAGGCTCTGGCAATTCAGGGAGGTTACTGGTTGGCCTTCAATCTCCAGGATCTGGTCTCCGGGCCGCAGTCCAGCCAAGTAGGCACTGCTTCCTTCTTCTACCTGGAGGATGTAGCATGGACCATTCCCACCAATCCTAAAGCCAAACTCCTCAGGCCAGGCTTGATTGGTCACTGGCATGATGGTCACTGGAAAGGGAAGATCACACAAAAGATGGATGAGAAGCCTTCACAGTACCTTAAGCATTTTACACAAGTTATCTCTCTCCTCCCCAGTACCCTCTTCAGTCTCTGACCAAATAACCACAGTCAGGCCAAGCTGGGTCATTCTAGAAAAGCTACAGATTTCGAGTACCTAAGGCAGGGGTGTTCCATAGGCTAACAGCGGGGCTTCCCTAGCTTGCTTCAAGGCTCAGCTCAAATCCCACCTTCTGCAGGAAGTCTTTTCTGGACCTCTCCCTTCCCTCATATCCTCTCTTTCAGCTAGTGCTTTCCTTCTGAGATTACCTTCTATTTATACTGTATATCTCTTATAAGTATATATTTTTTTTGTTTTTGTTGCATATTTTCTCTTCCACTAGAATGTGAGGTTTTAAAGGTCAAAGCCTATATTTTTGCCATTCTTTGTATCCCTAAGGCCCGGTCCTTAACAAGAGTTTGTTAAGGCTGATTGACTGATAATGCACCATAATGGAAAGAGCCCTGAACTTGTCAGAAGACCTGGGCTTGAGTCCCGGCTATATCATATACTAACTATGACAGCTTCCTCATCTACAAAATTGGGGTGATGATTTTTTATTATCTACTTTATAGGACTGTTGTGAGGAAGATAGAGTTCTGCAAACCTAAAAATGCTAGAGGAATTTGTGACTTTTTTGTTTCTATTGCAATACTTCTTAACCCTGTTTTACTGATTTCCCCAGAATGCAAAGCTGGTTGGAAGGTAAAGGGAGACAAAGTGGACGCAGAGGCCATCTTTGTTTATCTAATTGTTTAGAAATTAGAAACACCAACATGGTCAACATTTCACTCAACCTCACCTATACTGCTTTCCCTAAAAGACTCTAAATGAAGATGAAAAACTTTGAGATTGAAAGACAAGAGTCCCTCTTTTTGAGTCCCTCTAGTCTCAGAGTCCAGTTCATAAGCATCAGAAGTAATAATTCACACTTATAGTGTGACTTCACCAGAATCAGACATAATAATTCACACTTACAGTGTATTCTACCAGAGTCCTGCTCAACTACCACACTTTAGTTGTGGAGGTGGCCCTGAATGCGTGAAGGCTATGTCAGCCATGTATAATCTCTGGCAAGACCACAGGCCAGCCTGGAAAGACTCTGAGTGTGAACCCAATGATCAAGTATATGTCTGCCGCATAAAGACCAGTCTAATTAATTTCAGTAGTTTTATCATCTGGTAAGCCAAAGGGTAATGATTTCTGGGCCACAAGAACCTTTGAAGAACAGCTACTAAATTAGAGAAGAGTTGAAGAAACTATACTTTTGGAAGGAATGTCCCCCAAGGAAAGCCACACATCCTTGAGGTACACGTAGAAGATTACATTGGAGCTTTCTTCCCCGAGATTCTGATGATGTCTTGGAGACACTATTCTATAATTTTGTACACAGATGCAAAGTCTTCTCTGAGGCTTCAATGAAACTTAGAAGAAAACTCTTTAGTTTTTTAATGTTCTGCCTACAGAAGGCAAGTCTGCAAATCTGCAAAGTATAGACCAGGTGTGTTTGTCATCCAAGGATTATCCTTTGTATAGTCCAATTGAGAGAAGCTTATCACCATAAGGTTAGTCACCAGGAAAAGAATGTTTCAGTTTTACCAAATGCTGTGATGTATCCATGACAAAGGCATGAAAGGGTTACAACTTGCATTGGTGGAAGAAATACCCTCACCAATAAAGTCACAGTCGTTTAAAATGGCGAAGAAATACTCAAAGGGGAAAATACCTTGGTATCCTACTATGAAAAACAACAGAACAAATTAACTGCTAAAGTTCTATCTTCAGCCCTATTGCAGGTTGGCCTTCAATTTCTAAGATCTTGTCTCTTGCCAGATTCCCACTGCTCTCTATTTTCACTTAAATATTATATTGATGTAAGCCTGGAGGGAGGTCTGTGGTGAGTGCTAAGCTCTGTGTCTTCAGTCCTGTCCTATTCTGCTTATTTTCTTTAAGTCAATAGCTGAAATAAAGGAATAAAAAATCATGTAACAAGGTCAAGAAGGATAACTAATATGCTGGGTGAGAGGATCAGCATCCAAAAAGATATACATAGGCTAGAATGATGGGCCAACTCTAATACCATATATGTGTGTATATGTATATATGTATATGTGTATATACACACATATATGTACCATATATAGCACCATATGCATGTGTATATATGTATCTATATACATACACATAAATGTGTATATATATATGTATCTATATACATACAAATAAATTGTATATATTTTATGTAAAACAAATTCCATGAGGGGATTAATTTTATCTTATCTTCTAGCATGATGTTTCTCATAGAGTAGGTGCTACATAAATATTGTTGAATTAGATAAGATTTAATAGGGATAAATATAAAATTCTGCACTTAGAAAAAAAAAGGAATTAATCACATAAGTACAAAATGTAGGAAATGTGGCATAACAGTTTAGTGATTTTTTTGAGCTGCAACCTCATAATAAATTTATGGACTAATACAGCAGCCAGAAAAACCCTAATGCTATCTTAGGCTGCAGTAAAAGAAGTATAGTGCACAGAATGAAGTGACAATCCTATTGTATTCTGTCTAAATCAATCAATATCTGGAATGTTATGTTCAGTCCTAGCTGCCAGTTCTAGAAAGGATACTGAGAAGTCAGGGTGTATTCACAGAAGGGCAAACAAGAGCATACCAGAGATCATGCCTTAAGAACATCACTTGAAGGAGCCAGGAGCGTTGATCCAGGAAAAGAAATAGCTTACAGGAAACACAACTTCATTCTTCAAATAACTGAATGGTTGTAATGTGAAAAAGAATTCTGGGGAAGAGGCCTGGACCTGTGATTTCATCAATGTAGAGACCTCTTGCTGGATGAGGAAACCTTCTCTGCCAAGGCAAATCAGTGACAAATTATAATCACAGAAAGTTTCCTAGGACACTGAGAGGTTAAATTACTTGCCTGGAGTCACATGTGCCCAGATGTGTTGGAGGTGGGATTTTAACCCAGGTCTTCCTGACTCCATAGTCAGCTCTCTACATACTACATCACACAAAAAGGGATGAGACTTGTTTTATTTAGTATGGCTCCACAGGGCAAAAGAACAGGATGATAATAATAGATTTTGGCCCACTATAAGAAAGAACTTTATAACAATTAAAGCTGTCTGAAAAGGAACTGGATACCATTATGGACAATGAGTTTCTTGTTATTTGAGTTATTCAAGAAGAAGCTGGATGGCCAACTTTCATAGATATTAGGCTAGAACATCAGGTTTATGCACTGGATAGAGTATGAGAATAGAAAATTTAGGGAATACCTTCCAACTCTTAGATTCAGTCATAATACTTTGTTAAATCTGTAATCCGATTGATGTGAGTACACTCTCCAAGGATACAGGTTACAATTCATCCATCACTGTCCATCTTTGTCGCTTCTTGTTCATTTCCTCCCATAAATCCTTAACACTAGATCTACCTACCATGTTTGGACCTTTTCTAGGTCTCTTGACATTGAGTGGATCAATTGAGAATGTAGTCTGTCCATCAGTTATTCTTGGATCTCAGCGTGTGATTAACCAATCTTTCTTTCTAGTCATACATTTTTCCAATGATAACCTCTATACCAATGAACACTTACTCACTGCCAATGTGTTGAAGCCTACTCATAACTGCCATGCATCTCACTACTGCCCTTTGAGTGAACTGTAACTCCATTTACTCAAAGACTGGAGTATTCCATGACTCAGCAGTATAACACCTTCCAAAGAATATTGATGCCTAAAAGGTTAGCCTTTGTTATAGGGAAAAGGTTGAAGCCATTAAAAGAACTATACAATTACATGGGATATCACTTGCAAAAATCTGTCTGCTCTCTCCTTATACTTCCATCAAAGATGCTCTTAGTGAATTAGATTAGTCTGACAAAAATTTTTAATAGAGATTGGAAAGTAATCATACAAGCAGGTAGTTATTGACATTCTCTTGGTTACTTTTTTTAGGATAAGGTTTAAAATTTGTCCAACTCTTTTATGTGACTCCATATTTCAGATACCTTGAGAATCAATCCCTCAGTTCCAGCATGGACCCCTGTGTGTATATTAGATCTGGTCTAGGTACTCTTTCCATCTTTATTTTCTTCACTACCATTTCTACTTCTTCATGAAGCATACCTAGGGTGATAGTGTTAGAGTCCAAATATGATGGCTACACTGTCCTTGATGGTGAATAAAGTTTGTTATAAAAATATTTACAGAAGCACAGGTGGCACAGTGAATAGAACACCGGCCCTAGATTCAGGAGGACCTGAGTTCAAATCCAGTCTCAGACACATGATACTCACTAGCTGTGTGACTCTGGGCAAGTCACTTAACCCTGACTGCCTCGCAAATATATACATATTTATTTACAAATCCTGTCTATTTTTCATCTGTTTTACTATCTTCGTTTCATCTTCATCTTCAAATGTCCTAGGAATGTCTTCACTTAGTTGGGTCTCTCATCAAACTTTCTTAATTGTATTTTTCCCTCCGCTACTTCTAGCTGTTTTATGAAGCACATAATTTTCTACCATCCTCCTCTATAGGATCTTCAAATGAGTTTTTATTCTAAACCAGTATTGCCCTGGGCTGCCATAACCTTTTGCTTAGCAAGGAGATCAAGTATCTGCTAGTTGAAATAATTTCTAGACACTTTTGTTCTCTTTTTCACAATTGATTTATATCACTTAAACTTCTTTGAGAAATGGTTATGAGCTGTTGATGTTTGTCTACTCATGTCTCATTTTGCGATTTCAATGGCTTTTAAAAATAGGTCAGGTTGGAGTTGTTTCAATATTTTGTCATATCTTTTAAAATTTATTCTTCTAGTTTTATGTTAATTTTGATCTCTGCTCTAACAAGTGGTCTGAATATATTTAGCTGATTCAGGATTGCTTCTTATGTTAATATTGAATTATTCACAATGTTAAAA